CGGCATTCGAGAGAGACAAAGCAGCCGAGCCGAGGCCAGAAATGACCGGTTTGAAGAGGTCGCCGTTGGAGAGAAACGGCACAACTACCAAACCGTGTAAAGGTCGTCGTCCCGTCTGCCTTGCCGATCCGATTTTTGGGTTGTTCGTCTTTCTCGCCAAACAGGGTGTTCGGGTCAACGACCTCTTCCGACGACCCGGCAACATTGGGCAAATGAAGGTGGGCAGAAGAGGCGATTTTGGCCTCTTTCCGCTTTTTATCACACACCAATCACACCCTAATCACACAACAATCAAACAGCAACAACACGCCGACCGGGCCTCGAATCTGAAGAGTCAGAGACTGATGCAGCAACGTGTGAATAGGCGTACAAATAGGCTTTTGAGACGATGGCAACACGAAGCCCACCTACAGAATGCCATTGTGGGGGGACTTTCATTTTGCATGAAAGTGCATAAATAAGTCCTTTGTAGGTCGATCTTACAGCGAGACGACGGCCGACATTCAATTTGACGCAGTCCACGACACATCCTCCCTCACTTGCGTATGAAACTAACCGAGCTTTTGTCTGAGCTGAAACCCACCCCTGTGAAAGGATCAAGCCACTATTAATTTCGCTTCTATCTTACATCTTATATATATATATATATATATTCAGAACTGAAAACGAAAATATATAGACATTTATATATAAATATATACAAAGAGAGAGCGAGAATAATATGGCTATTTCTTTTTCATATTTTTCATGGTATTTTGCTTGAGTGTGTGTGTGTGTGTGTGTGTATATGGAAAGGGGGGAAGGAGTTCAAGCCAAAATGGCTACTTATTGCATCAATAAGTAATATAGTGAGCTGAATATCAGACCTACAGTCGGCTATGGCTAAAAAGGTGTTGAACCAACTTTCCTTTCGTACAAAATTGGATGTCTAAGGGAGTACATTTGTGGATTTTCCGCCGACAAGCATTGAAACACTACTCTTCGGTTCTGGTGGAAACAGACAGCGCTTTCTTCTATTATGCTACTTGACGGACACCCCCGGAGCCTGAATTCGTTGCTATAACGAGTGACTCAACACAACCGGCTCATACCTAGTTACGTGATTTGTATATATATATATACGTTTATTTATTTATTTAGGAAATTTCTTGTAAACTTGATTTGTATTCTGCTCAAAGTTGTTATCCTTTTGGAAATATATTATCAAGACTGGTGTATCTCGACAAGAGAGGCTTGGCGATTCATATATAAAAATAAATTTAAAAAAATAAAATAACTGCACGGCAATAGTGTAATGTGTAATTTAGAGATACTCTTTGAGCATATGAGCAAATTAACCGTATAATCTCTTCTACTCATACTCTCAC